TTTTGTATATTAATTAGTTTTAGTAAATTTTTAAACTTAATACTTTTATATCTTCTTATCTAATATATTGTTAGGAACCCTAACGACAAAATCAAAACCATACATTAAACGATTCACTCTGCCACCAGAATTCCCTGTCATGGAACAAAGTTGTGTTTGATTTCATGAGATGAAATAACATATAGACAAAAGTTGTGTTTAATTTCATGGGTTAAAATAGCATGTAAAAGAAAACGGTGTTTGATTTCATGAGGTGAAATAGATTATAGATGGAAACTGTATATGATTTCATGTGATGAAATAACATATATATGAACATTATGTTTGGGTTTCATAATGTGAAATAACATGTTTATGAAAATTTTGTTTTATTTCATCAGGTGAATAAGATAGCATGTGTCTCATCTGGTGAATCTATGTTACCAAAATGACGATTATGCCCTTTTTCTAAATAAAATCATCTTTCAATTAAAACCATAGGATCAAAACCAAATTAAGGCATAGACTAGTTCTCAACCTTTTTGTGATTTTGATTTAATTTAACCTGTATATATTGATTAAAAATTTAATATATTAAAATGTTTATTATTATAATATTAAATTTGGTTTTTAGTATGTAGTTGAAATTGATTTTTTTAGTGCTTAATTGAACTATATTTTTTAGAGATGCGCTAAGAACATCGATTCCATGTATTAATGTAATTTAATGGGCTGTGCTTAACATATATAAATAAACTACAAGGGTGGTATCTGATTGGTTTGAATTTGACTCCAAAGATTAAAAGTATCTAGAGGTCTCTGGTTCAAATCCAATGAGAAATATAAATCTCCTTGTAGCCACAGAGGTTCAAATGCGGTGACTCCGGACTATCTGCAAAACAGATGATCGTTATGAGATTAGTCGGCTCGTATAGCGAGTTAAATATCGAGGCTAATAAAAAAAATAAAATAATAAACCACATAATTTTTAGTCATTTTCGGTTTTTTTTTTAACAAAACAAATTAGAAACCACAAATTAACACCTTACAACAAGTTTTTATTGTGGCATTGAAAATTGTGACTTTGGCTTACATTTTGATGTCAAGAAAATATTAAATAAATAAAAAAACGTGTAAAGTTGTGTTTCTGGGCTATTCTATGAAAATAAAAAATTGGAGATCTTTTTAAGGGTGTACAAAAACTGTCAATATGTAAATCTCGTCCAATCCAACCTATTAACACCTAATGAAACTCAACCCACTTGACCGTCAAACCATTCATCCACCAAACCGCTAACCCGTTAATTAGGAGGGTTGAAATTGGGTTAGGTCTAGCTTAACCTTTCCAACTCGCTAACCCGTTGCTAATATGAAATTTTTATACTTATATATATATATATATATATATATATTTATATATATGTTTATTATGTGTGTGTATATATATTAATAATATATAAATTTTATATAATTTTTATTGATATTATGTTTGTATTTCATTTTAGCTAAACGTATAAGTTATCAAAAGAGATTCATGATCAAAGAAATGATGAAAAATAATCTAATTAATAAGAGAAAATTATTGAAATCTTTTTTCCAGCAACAACATATTGATATGTCGGATAATATGAATGATATTGATAGATATTTGGTTGACGAATTTATCTATCTAAATACATCGTCATTTTATGTTGTACTTTAGTAGAAAGAAAATGCTTAGTTGTAACATTTCGCTACAAGGACCTTAGATCTTATAGGATGCTAGAATGTCTAAGCGGATTAATATGATATTTTATAGGACGAAACAAAAAAATTGTCTTATCTAAAAGAGTTACAATATGTTTATAGGATGATTTTGGATATATTAACAAATGCTATGAAGTTTTTAAAATAAAATGTCGTATTAGTTATTTTATACGACACGACTTGAAAAAATATCATATATACATGGATAACCTATAAATAGATGAGTTCACGGAACATTTTTTAAAATATTTCTATAAAATAACTAATACGATATTTTATTTAAAGATCAATTTAAAACCCTTGTTGAAACATCCAAAAACATTTTATAAACCTATTATAACATTTTTAAATAGAACACTTTATACTATAGTCTATAAATTTAAGTTTTATGAATTATTTCATCCGTCAAATTTCATGTAACTATTAACCAGCAAACGCAACCCGCCTCATCCTGTGCTTATTAATATGATGATAACCAACCCATTTGGCATTGAACCGCCATAGCATTTTGATCTGAGCTTCAGGCCTTCACCTTCAGCTTCCTTCAATGAAGTCTCCAAGTGTTGAAATCATCTCAGATGTTTTCATCAAACCAAAATTAGTATCAGAAGAAGCCAAGAAACCCATTTACTTCTCGCCATGGGATTTACTTCTGTTTAATATACATTACATCCAAAAGGGTTTACTTTTCCGGTTACCCGAAAATCTAGATTTCTCCATCGCCACCTTCCTGGAAGACCTCAAAGACTCTCTCTCCGTCACACTGACTCATTTTCACCCACTCGCCGCCCGTTTTGCCACCGTTAAACGACAAAATCCACCTTCTTTGGTCCTCTTCTTGAATCATGAGAACAGTCCTGGAGCAAGATTCATTCATTCAACTGTCGATTTGAGGGTGGCGGATGTTATTGAACCGACGGATGTACCGTTGATTGTTCAATCGTTTTTCGACCACCACGATGTTATCGCTCACGATGGTCACCAACTGTCGTTGCTGTCGATTCAGGTGACGGAACTCATCGATGGAATCTTCATCGGTTGCTCCATTAATCATATGGTAGTTGATGGAACCTCCTACTGGCATTTCTTTAACTCCTGGTCCGAAGTTTTCAGATCAAAAACACAAAACGGACATTTAACTCCCGTCTCGCGTCCTCCCATTCTCGAAAGATGGATTCCGGCAGGATCCGACCCGATTATCAGCCTCCCGTTTGCAGATGACTGTGAACTCATCGACAGATACCGTCAACCTTTTTTAAGAGAAAGAATATTTCATTTTTCTTCGAATTCTCTCTCTAAGCTCAAAGCGAAAGTGAACTCAGACTGCAATACAACCAAGATTTCCACGTTGCAGGGGCTCTCCGCCCTTGTGTGGCGGTGTGTAACACGTGCCCGGCGGTCACCGGCAGATCAAGAAACCGGCTGCAGATTGGCCGTGAACAACAGGAGCAGAATTCTCCCGCCGGTGTCTGAAAGCTACTTCGGTAACATGGTCTCCATTGTGACAGGAAAAACAACGGCGGGGGAGTTGCTGGATCAGAGCATCGGGAGGGCGGCGTGGCGGTTGCACGAGGCGGTGGTGAACCATGGTGATAAAGCGATCAAGGGATTTGTTGATTCGTGGTTAAAGAAGCCGTTTGTGTTTAAACTGAGTCAGTTTCTTGATCCCAATGTGGTGCATATGGGGAGCTCGCCAAGATTTGATATGTATGGGAACGAGTTCGGGTTGGGGAAAGGAGTGGCGGTTATGAGTGGGTATGCTAATAAGTTTGACGGCAAGATGACGCTATACCCTGGCCGGGAGGGCGGAGGAAGCATGGACTTGGAAGTCTGCTTGTTGCCGGAAAACATGGCTGCTTTTGAATGTGATGATGAATTCATGAGTGTTGTTAACGGAGAAAAACCCATTTGAAACACCATTAACCCATGTAATAAAACATTACCACCTTCAGTTTTATGGGCTTCAATAAAAATATAATCGTTTTCAGTTTGCAGTACGTTGGCGGTTTACTTGTTTCCTTACTTTTCAAACCATTATACAAACCCTACAAAGTTCGTTCAATCAATTATAGTTTTAAACGATGAAGATGTGTTATAAAAAGATAGAGGGATGAATGGAGTTTATAACTATGTTTTTTATCATGATAAACTTTGAGATGTATCCTTTAGTTTTATAAAGTTTTAAAGAACACCTTTAAGTTGAATAATTTATAACAGAAGACCTCAAAATTTCATAAATTGCAATCAAGTTCGAGTCGAGTTTAGTTTTTAACTACTTGCATGTTTTCGAGTCATGTCTAGTTCAAGCTCGAGAAATGACTATCAACTTCGAGTCGAGTATATCAATACTCGAGCTCGTCTTGCATCATTTAGACCCCTATTTAGAACCACGCAACAACCTATTTTCTTCCTTGATACTACCGGTTCGCAAGAGGAATGGGTCGTAGTGATTTTGTACATATTACATGATGCTAACGCAGATTTGAGTTTATAAGACTGACTATTTTATTCGATTTCCAATGTTTTACAACCTTGTTGGTTATAAAACTTCAAATTTAGTTTGAACAAGGTGAAAAGAGAATGGGGCAATGAGTAATTTGTATCTTTTCTTATCTACACCTCAAATATTTGTGCGGAGACAAAGTGGTAGGGGTGTAAACAATACGAGACAATTCGTGAGCTACTCGAGATTGAGTCGGTTAGAGCTCGGTCAACACTCGACTCGAATAGGCTTGGCTCGAACTCGAGCTCAACTCGACATATTAACGAGTCGGGTCAAGCTATCAAATACCCGACTCGAAAAGCTTGTGAGATACTCGATTATTTTATATACAATTAGTTTTAAAATATAATCAGTTTTTATGATAAAATTTGTAAAATATAAATAATAAAAATGTCTTATACTTTCAGATATTTAAACAAAATTATACATTTTTATTATAAAAATTAATCAATTATTTTTTTAATTAGAATCACAATAAAAAAAACCCGATGGACTTAGGTGGCGTTTGTTTTTTAAGAGGTACTGAAGTCTGAAGTCTGAATTCACTTCTGAATTTTAAGAGGTGGTTCTGAAGTCTGAAATCTGAATCAGTTAGACTGTTTGTTTTTACGTCTGAAGTCTGAAATCTGAATCAGTCAGACTATTTGTTTTTACGTCTGAAATTTGAATCAATATAAACACGAACAATCGTGAGCTGTTGACATCGAGAGCATTCGAGAGATCTCTTGGACGGAGAGGCAGACAAAAAATCCTGAGCTGTTGACATCGAGAGCTAAGTGCGAGACCTTGAAATCGAGAGCTGAGAGCGAGATGGTGATGGAAGAGCGAGATGGAGATGGAGAAATCGAGAGTTGAGAGCGAGATGGAGATGGAGATGGAGAAATCGAGAGTTGAGAGCGAGATGGAGATGGAGATGGGATGCGGCTCTGAAATTGATTTCAGACATAGGATTCCCACTTAATTTTAAGAGGACGGTAAGAGGTAAAAAAGCTCTTAATTTAAAAAAAAACAAACAGTCTGAAATCACTTATGTCTGACCGATTAAGAGTTAAGAGGCAATTAAGTGAAAATTTTAAAAAACAAACAGGCCCTTAGAGTTTTCATGACAACAATGGTTCGATTAATGATCTAATGATGTAATCTTGAAAATACTTAAAAATACTACAATTCAGGTATGCATTCATTTTTATTTTTGTTGGGATTTTAGAATTTTGTTTTTTACTTTTCTTTTCTATAATTTTACTAAGTTTTCTCAATGAAATGGAGAGTTTGTTCTTGACAACACTTTTAGAGTTTTCATGACAACAATGGTTCGATTAATGGTCTGATGATAGAATCTTGAAAATACTACAACTTATGGTATAGCCTCAACAAACTTCAACATATCTTTTTCTATAATTTTCCTAAGATTTTTTTTGTTAGAAATTTTCAAGTATATTTTGAGAAAACTAATGTATGTATGCATTCCTTTTGAATTTTGTTGAGATTTAAAAGTTTTTTTTTTTGTTACAATTTTTAATGTAGCATTACCAAACTTCAACATGTCCTTTTTTAATGGTTACATTTTTTTCAGGTTTATTTCGAGATTATTAATCCGAGTATGCAATTCTTCTTATTTTTGTTGGGATTTTAGAGTTTTTTTAACTATAAATCTCCACACACACACATATATATATATATATATATATATATATATAGAGAGAGAGAGAGAGAGAGAGAGAGATGTTGGTTCAAATACTAACCCATTTTTGTGTGTTAACTATGCTAACCAACATCAACCAATCATGTTTCATCTTTTAGTTAGGTTCAAATGTAACTCACATATTAAGTGTAAGGGTATTTAGGTAATTTGTCATTTTTATGTAACTCCCTAATATTTTAATTGGGAGTTACAAATCTTAAAATATCACTAATTGATCTTCATGTAATAATGACATGAAGTTTCACATTT